CTGAAAGATCCAATCCCCAAGGTAAATGGTAAACAAAATGACCAAAATGCCCAAAAGTGTGCAGTTGCGCGGGTACCCGCGCGACTGAGATTCCACCCTCGCAAGTGTTGCTGGAATGCTATTGGTCCATTCTTCTCCACTACCCAAGATTCCCTTGGTCCCCTCCATGACTCACATGATTTGAAATTGGCCAATCACCTTCAAGCTCTAAATATGGATAGTCCATGCCCAAAATAAAAATCCATGACCCATCTTCAAAAGCCCACTTCATCCAAATCTTCAACTTTTTAAGCCCAAATCTCCTTTGATGGATTCGTAAAGCCCAATAATGCATCGAGAAGCCCACTAAGCCCAACTCCAGTCAAACCGCAACCGCAATGAGCTCCAAAACCCTGCAAAATAGAAAGTACCTGACACGATCCATGATAAAGAAAATAAAGAATATACAATGCAATACTAATTAAAATAGCTAAAAATACTAAAATAAACTAATAAAAATAAGGAAATAAAAAAGCTATCAGACCACATAATACCTTCCATCTAAGCTCCTAATGCATAAAGTCGACACCTTTATGCATTTACATGACCCAATGAGACCCAATAACCATTTTAATCCATTAAGACCCAACAAGAACATGCATGGACCATATCTAAGCATCAAGCAATCATTTTTATGAACGTATAACCTTAAATCTACCAAGAGTGGCAACTTAAAGCTTCTGGAGTGGTGTCCAACCACTAGATCTTACTCATGAGGTCAAAATGGAACCAAAAACCATAAAATCATAGATCTCAACTTCTAATGATCAAGTTAAGAGCATTTTACCTTCAATGAGATGAAAATGTAGCAACGAGTTCAGATCCACTAGCCTTTCCTTGAACCACCACCTTGCACAAAGCCACCACTTCTTAAAATACACTACAATCCACCAAAAATGCACATACAAGGCACACAACCCTCTTGGATGAAGCTATGACTCCATATTTAGGGTTTCAGACACTGGAGGATGAAAGGTAGGTGTACATCTTGGACTTAAGGTGCTTAAATAGTGAGCCAACCCTTAAAATTTGGGTTTTGGGGACCCTGAACCTACGCTGGGCGTACTTCCTGTACGCTGGGCGTACGTCTCCCAACCTGCGTTTCACTTATCCAGCACTACGCTGGGCGTACCCAAGATTACGTTGGGTGTACTCACGCGCATGCCACCTTGCATGCATGGGACTGCCTTGCCAATTATTTTCATTAGGGACCAGAATTGCCAATAACTTCAAAATAACATAACGCCCTCATCCTAGGCCCGTTTCCAACGAACCTTATATCCACGAAAAGGTGGCGAGAAGCCCTACTCTCCTAACAACATACCCAATCCTTAAATCCTCCCGAACAACACCCTAAATTCATAATAGACCAAGATATCAAATTACGATTATACCTTGGCTTCCGAAGACACCATCGAATACTTGGATCACTTATACTATGACACCCACATCCGAAATGGGCCAAATACTGTTGGATATAGTGTCTAAGTCCATAACTTTATTTGGTATGTACTTGACCCGACCCGGCATGGTCCATTTGGGTTGCATGGCATTGCAATACTTGGATAGACTAGATGAGAGAATAAGGCACTTATGATTGTTAATATATTATAAGTTCTAATATATTAATAATAGTATTATTTAATTAGTATTGATCAAGTATTAATCTAGTATTAATTTGGTGATCAAAGTGAGACTAATTAAATATATAGGGTTGATTATGACAATCATCAATTCTTTTATGGTGGATTAATGATCCATGGTTTATGGGTTTGGTTATAACCATATGGAGCTCCATGGATAGTCCATGGGAGTTACAAACCCATGGGTCATGAGAAATCAAGAGTCATGACAATTAAGGGCATTCATGTGTAAACCCTAATTGTGACAACACTATAAAAGGAACCCTATGGCTAGCAAAATCGTGACCTAGTGTTACTAGAGAGGGCATAACCGATTTTGAGGCTAAGTGACATTCTCTCAAGTTATTCCAAGTCTTGTGGTGTTGTGTGAAGCATTTGAGGCACAACATTTGGGGTGCTAGGCTCACAAAGTCTTGAAGGAATCCAAGCAACAACGAGGTATGTATTTCTACTAGTTTTATGTTCTATGTAATCCCCATGCCATGCTAGTTAGGAAATAACCTTGAAAAAGAAATTTGCATGTATATAGAGAAAACATAGATTCAAGGTTATTAGGGTTGCATGTACACTTAGGAAGTGTTAGAATGCTCAAAACCCATCAAATACTTCCTTCCCCGAAGCCCTAAGCCTTACGAGAACTAATGACTGGGCCGCAACCCCAAACAACGGAGCAAATCTGAAACCGAGTGTTACACATTGCCCCTTGGAATCCTGTACCCAAGAGAGCTGCCCCTGGACCCCCGTATTTCCTAGTTCATATTTATCACTGTGAGTGTGCACCCCCCACATCTCTAGTCTCGGTGAGTAAATATAACTCAACCTATCTCAATAATAATAATAATAATAACTACACTAAAAAATGTTGATAACACTAAAATCACCAACAATTCATTGAATGCCAATTAGACATGCCACCTCATTCAACTCTTTCATTGAAATATGCATTGTGGATGGATGCTCTTATATATGTTATCTTAAATGCTTCATACATTTATAAATCATATGGTTCCACATACAAAATATACAAATGGCAATGGAGGGGTCTCTCAAGTGGGAAAGACGCTTTGATATGGCTGGATCTACTACGCAAATCACTCCTTTTCTCAAGTGGGAAAGACGCTTTGATATGGCTGGATCTACTACGCAAGTAGCATACTCGGATCAAGCAGCATCTCTTTTGGTTCAAAGCGAGTCCAGGAATATCTGACAGGTTGGGCGGACGGTCTCTCAAGCGATTCTTCCAATCTTTTGCATCTTGTGGTGAAGGGAAGCCCAGTTATTAGTAGCAAAAAGAGAAAGATAAAGGGCTTCGCTCCCAGGTTGATGGATCAAGAAATGAATGAAAGGTTGGAAGATCCTGCCCAGGGGGAGAAGTCTCAATGGGATGCATTTGCAGAGAGAAAGAGAGATGCCGCTGCTACCAAAGGTGCACCCCGACAAAGCTACACTGCCTGAGGAATCATCCCATTTTCTCATATGAAGTCTATCAGCGGTGCTATTTACTATTCTTTCTAGTTCTGACTTGGGAAGCTGATCTCGATCTCAAGAGAAGCGTGACGATCATTCAAAAGGAGAAGGATCGGACAAAAGAAGGTGGTGACGACGGCCCGGGTGGATAGGATGGGATTCTGACCTCCACACCTGGACGGAGTGGTGACTTTGAGAGGTAGAGAGATTTTAAGCCTAAGCAGAGATCTTTCTTCAAATTCTTGGTCTTGCAGGTTGGTGACCGATCAATCAGTCTCTACGACCGGATCCAGTCTGAGAGATGAGCTAGCTTTCTTTCGGGTGTGAGTGGAGCAGAATGAGTGTGAATTAAGGGTGTGATTGCTTTGATGGAAAGAGTAGCACTCCCGATAAATCGATATCCGGGGGAAAGAAATCCATATCCCTCTAATAGTAGCAGACTGCGAAGTTGAAAATCGAAGGGGAACCAGAAATCTTGATCCATGGTCCCCCGGCTTGAAGTTGAAGCAGACGTCCAGAGGTGCCTTTCTTGATGGAATGAAAGAAATGCCGACCTATAATTCCTGGTCATGAAGTGGAAAAGAAAGAAGTAGCATGGAAAGGAGGTGCGCTGGAAGTGGAAAGATTTTTTATTTCAAAATTTCGTATTAAGATGGATTTGATTTCAAGCCTTCTCTTTTCTTTGCTTTACAGAATTTATCTTTCTATCTATCAGTGAAGACTGAATTTAGGATTTGGCAATTATTGATGGAATTCCTTCCTTCTTTCTTGAAGTGACAGAATTCTTTATTTATTTCAGGAATTTCTTTCAGATATGACGGAATTGATATCGCCGTGAAATCTTTCTTTTTTTATTGCTTTCTTCTGACTCCTTACGTATACTTCACTCGTTGGGTTCGGCTGTCAGTTTCAAATCTTGAACCAGAATTGATCGATAGAAGTGCTTAAGCTGGAGGTGGAAGCATGAGTTCAGAGTTAGCATCGAAGGATGAAAAAAGACCCCCGGTTGAAGTGCCATCAAATCCAAAGGGCACATGTAGCCATGCCATGAAATACAAAGGGCTAGCCAACAAATGATAAGAAGGGCACGCACGTGAAGCAAGGGGATGGAGGGCAGCCGTCCGGCGATTGAGGACCGCACATATCAAAGATAAAGAATATGAAAACCGAGACTATTTAAGTAGAACTCGGATATACTGACCGGGAGGCCGAGTTGAAAGTAAGGCTTTAAGCGAATTAAGATAGACAATACAATAGATGCTATCTAACTAAGATTTTCAGTCTTAAGCTAATCAGTATTGGTAAGACGGGTACGTAGACGCACAAGAGAGGTTTTCTAGTCTTTTAATTGAATATAGGGGGCAGGGGAATCTAGTAAGAAAGAAAGAGAAAAAGGATAGAAGTCTTACAGGAATTCGATCCAGCCCCGGTTTGAGCATCTCCCTAGCCTACCTACTTTCGAAGCTATCCTTTTGTCTCTCTATCCTTGCTAACGAGAACCTGTGAGACGGCTAGTATACAAGAGTATTCACCACTAATATCTCAGGCACGGTTGTGCGAGATGCGTGAATCGCAATGCTAGTCGTAAGAGATCATTTCTAGTTTAGCAAGGAGAAGGAAGCAACCGGAGAGATCTTCTTTTAAGGACAGGAAAATTGGGTCACATCTTCTTCTATTTTGCCGGAATTCGTTGATTGCTCCGTACGAATTTTCAATGGAATCCTGTTCGTTGTAAGATCACTGAAGGAGGTCCTAAATTGGGAGAGTTTGCTTCTACACGGAAACGAAGATCTTCGAGAACTCATATTGGACCGGGAATCAAAAAGGGACAAAAGTAAAGTATAAGCGCATATGGCACGAAAAGGAAATCCAATTTCGGTAAGACTTGGTCTGAATCGTAGTTCAGATTCAAGTCGGTTCAGTGAGGGCGACCGCGAAAGTCACCGAAGGGGTCAGTCTTTTCCTTCACCCCAGATTAAAAAAAAAAGGCGGGGAAGGGCGTTGCAGATGTCCGGGACGGACACGACTTCTTCTAACGCTAGAAGACCACTGGAAGACACCCGGGACCAGAGCATGTCGTGAAAGAAGCACACTGGGCGGGCGTGCTTCGACCGTGTCTCCGGGGCACAGTTGAATGTAGATATCATGAACGCGAGGTGCAGGATACCAGGCCGAGAAAGCCGGGCAACCACTCCCCTATGTGCCAATCGCTAGTGCAGCCAGGGCCCCGGCGCCCAGCTCCGCTGGAGAGGCCTCGCCTGATCTGAGAAGTGCTAATTCGGTTCGGATAGACTTCATTCAAGAACGCCGCCGCCCCTGGAATAAGAAAACAAGTGCTAAGTTTCAGATCAGTGAATAAACCGAAACGAAAGAAGAGACCTTTCTCGCTCGGCGCCTAAAGCGCACTATGCTCCGCTTCAACAAATGAGAGTTTTCGGTGGAACCGGTGAACCACGCCGGTTAAATGCGTGGGACAGAGGGCTCGTAGTACCTGCTACCGCAGCTATGGGAAGGGAAGGAGCCTAAATCGACCTTTTTTATTTTGAAAAGAAAAAAAGCAGTACAAGGAGATTAGACTCTCGGATGAGACTAAGTAGCTACCGACCGTTCCGACGCGCCCTTGACCTATCTTGATTAAGACCGAAACCTATCTAATCGAAAGTGGGGTCTAGTTTAAGCTGTCAAACAAATGGCCTGGAAAGAATAACCACTAGTAGGGATATAGATGGAGTCTCGCTCAGTAAAGAGAGTTGTAGATTCGTAGAACAGGAGAAGAGCCTTGACTTTCTATTAGATTAGTCCAGCACGCTAGCTGCAATCTTTCTAAAGCAAGAAGGGAAGGGGGAAAGTTTACTTTGAGAAAGAAAGGCCTTCTCTTCTATTTCGATTCTAATCTTAGGAAAGGTGCGTTATCGCTTTGATTTCTCGTTAGCTAGGCTTCAATAAGGACGTTTAGGCTTTACTAATAAGATAGAAAAGAAAGGGCTTTTTCATCAGGGTGCGAAGGTTTGGAACCTTATAAAAACTAAGAGCGTTTTCTTTCAAATGACAACTGCCTCTTCCTGCTGCGAGGGCCTTGCACGAAACCAAACCGCCCCCCCCCGCCCGCTCAAGTACCAGTTGCTTCGCAGGTAGGCCCACTTAGGTTAGAGGGGCATTGCCCCTCAGTTCTTACCAACCCCCGGTGTGTAATCGACATGTTGTTAGCTTCAACTCGTTCGAATAAGAATCTGCAATTACCTCTGCTGTAAATTTATTATTCATTCAGGGCGCTCGGCCGGTGCTCCTTTCTCAAACCAGAACAACTCTGAACGTTAGGGAAGAGAAGGGAGGATCACCTGAGCGAACTGACCGAAGGGACTTTACTTATCCGAACCGAACGATAGCGGCTTAAAGCTAAGAGCAGCGTCGCTGCTTGATCGGCGGGGAGGAGCATCTCAAAGTATGGGGCAAAGGATCAAAGGCTTTTACTTTGTCACCCGGGATCCACCACAGGTTGGGTTTGAGAGCCGTGTGATGGGTGACTATCCAGCACGGTTCGGAGAGCACTTTTAGTCTGCGCTGGTGAATGGAAGCCCCCCTATCAAGCAAGAAAGAAGCGGCTCTTCCCACGGCGGAGTCCGCATTGACTCTATTTATTATTATGGTAAATCAGTGTATCAAGATGTCAATCTTAGATCTTATTTCGGTTCGATACGTCCACCTACTAGACTCACCTTTGGCTTTCGTCTCGGTAGGTGTATTATTATACATTTTCCCAAAAGAACATTCATTCATTTCTTTCTTCCCCGTCGACCACGACGACAGAAACGACGCGAAAAATCCAGACCCGGAAAGGGGAAGGGCCAGTGGTGGGCATTTGGGAAAGTCGGGCCGATCGGGTGTCTTCATTCAAGCGACGGTACAGAAGAAGAACGAAACGAAGTGAGAGGCCGGGGGGCAGGGAAAAGAGTCGAGTCGATCAGGCTCGACGACCGGGAGAAGCAAAACGAAATCCGGATTTGGCCGAAAAAGAAGCAACGCTATGGATACCATGACCGATCACCATCGATAAAGAAGAATCTTTCTAAATCACTTCGGGTCAGCGGGGCCTTCAAGCATCCGAAATACGCCGGGCTTGTAAATGACATAGCCCTCCTAAATGACGACTCCTTCAGAAAAACGAAGTTATTCAAGTTCTTTTTCTCAAAGAAGTCCCCCTCCGACAGCCCGACGAGTCATCCACTTAAAAGGACCCTCCCTGCGGTGCGCCCTTCCTTGAATTATTCGGTCATGCAATACTTATTGAAGACAAAGAACCAAATGCATTTCGACCCCGTCGTAGTTCTCAATCATTTCGTGGAACCGGGCGTGGTTGAACCATCTACCATGGGGGGAGCTAATGCACAGGGAAGAAGCTTAGATAAGAGAATACGTTTCGCTTTTTTTGTCGAAAGCTCGACCAGCGAGAAAAAGTTTTTGGCCGAAGACAAAAAGTTGACCCACTTCATTCGCTGGTCGGATCATCCTCGCTTCGCGGGAACAACAAAAACCACCATCTCGCTCTTTCCTTTCTTCGGTGCTACCTTTTTCTTTCCAAGGGACGGGGTTGGGGTGTATAAGAACCTTTTTTTTGAGTATGCCCGGGAACAACTCCTACGAAAATTCAGGAAAAAATGTTGGAACCTCACGGCTAAGGATAAGGTAATGGAATTGATAGAGAAATTCATAGACCTAGGTGGGATAGGAGAATTGATAAAGGGAATAGAGATGATGATAGAGATCATACTGAGAAACAGAAGAATTCCGTACGGGTACAACTTTTATTTGAACGAAGTGAAAAAAATGCGATCTTTGTTGTCTAATAGAACAAAGACTAATACCTTAATTGAGTCGGTCAAGATCAAATCTGTTTATCAAAGTGCTTCTCCGATTGCTCAAGATATCTCTTTTCAACCGAGGAACAAAACAAGATCATTTCGCTCCATTTTTAGTCAAATAGTGAAGGATATTCGATTAGTAATGAAAAAAGGGGTGGAGGGGATCCGTATATGTTGTTCAGGTCGATCAGAAGGTGCAGAAATAGCTAGAACTGAATGCGGAAAGTATGGAAAAACATCTAGTAATGTATTTAACCAGAAAATAGATTATGCTCCTGCGGAAGTATCTACTCGTTACGGAATCTCAGGTGTCAAAGTGTGGATTTCATATAGTCAAAAAGAAAGGGGACGTGCTATATCCGAAACGTACGAAATATAGTAAATATCATAAAGGCAGATGTAGTAGGGGTTGCAAACCGGACGGTACACGACTTGGTTTTGGAAGATATGGCACTAAAAGTTTGAGAGCTGGTCGTCTTTCATATCGAGCCATTGAAGCAGCGCGTCGAGCTATAATTGGGCAATTCCATCGTACTATGAGCGGACAATTCCGAAGAAATGGTAAGATATGGGTAAGAGTTCTCGCAGATCTCCCTATTACCGGGGAACCTACAGAAGTCAGAATGGGAAGAGGAAAAGGAAATCCTACGGGTTGGATTGCTCGTGTGTCCACAGGACAAATCCCATTTGAAATGGATGGTGTGAGTTTGTCAAATGCTCGACAAGCCGCTACATTAGCGGCGCATAAACTATGTTCGTCAACCAAGTTTGTTCAGTGGTCGTAACGTAATTAGTTAGTGGGGAAAAAGCGGGCCGGGATTCAAAAGAATTAGGCGAAGTGTTTGTTCCTGAACGACGGAAGTGGAAAGACACTAAGGGAGAGGGATATACTCCTTTCTTTTTGTAATCGCCGAAATTGTACGACGAACCTTCTTGTTCCAGGCGTACTACCCGGGTACGTTAAGGTTGAATTCTCCAGGCCCGGTTTCTAAAGTGAGAGTAGTCAGAATAAATAAGAAAGATAAGAGCTAAGATTCAGGAAAGGAAGCTTTATGGGAGAAAGGATAAAAAGTATGTATGTATCTGGTGGGGTGGGGCTATGTATGTAGAAAGGGATCAGTCTCTATCGATCCGGATACTAAAAGCGTACTGAAGACTTACTTAAGTTAAGCCCCGAAACCTATTCAGCAGTTGAAAAAACCAATTCATTCCAAGGCAAACAAAGAGGTCTTTCCTTTTGTCGTTCAGTCCTTCTCTCCTTCCATCTTTCCTTCCTTCCATGTAGGCCTCTTGCTATCCATATTGAAAAAAGAGAAGAAAGGGAAATGAAGACTAGCCAAAAGACCTAAAATATAAAAAATAGAAAAGATCTAACTACTATATGGAAGTAGTAAAGCATAGTTCTAATCCTAGGATTACATATCGCTCATCGGCCCAGAACTCGCAACTACGAAGCTCTTTTCTCGAGCGAGGCAACAATTCGTGGATCCATGGTTTGGATGAAGCTATGTACCCGGGTGGAGATGATTTGTCTCAAAGATGTTCCGCTCATCCAAGAATCTAATTGATCGGTAATTCGACCGACGACTCTAAGGGCATTAGCGCGGGCCTTCCATCTTACCGTGGCTATCTAGTCATTGACCCATTTGCTTGCGAAGCATATCATCGCTTCGTGCTGTTCCCTTATGCATTGATGATTACTGATTAAAATTGCTGCAATAAGCCGCCTCTCCGCTACGAGGTTTGCGAGGACCTTTGTTACCGCGCCCGAGCTAGCACTAGTTCGTACCTCGTTCGACTATTAGATCGAATAGGCGTCTTATTAAGCGGTCTTTTTCTTTGACGTTACATGATCAGCCGCCGATGAACGCATGTGCAAAGTAAAGTTCATCTGCCATGCCCCCGGCCCCGGCATAGGAATGAATGCCCACGGTGGTTGTGCATTCTGGCGTAACGTAATAGGAAGACTTGTGATTTGGCGAGAGTTCTTGATGAGGGCTGATCCATTATATAATAGAACGAAGTGAACAAGTTGCCGGAATTTCAACAGTGAGTTCCTGGATGATATACGGATTAGAACCGAGACGACCGATGCCTCAAGCCCATGGTTTGTCTTTTTTCCGACATGCAAAATGACTCGCCCTGTCTTTCTTATCAAATCCGAGAGCACCCTATCCTCTCCTCGCTGAGCGACCCGGCATTTTCGTTCAAATATAGGCCGGCTGGCTTGGTTGCTATTATAAAATACCGGGTGGCTACAGGCTCAGGTTGCTAGTTGGCTTAGTATTGCATTGAAAGATGGTAGCTGCTTCTTCACTCTTCAAGTAGCTGAAGCTTCTGTTCAAGTCAGGAATAGGGGTTGATAAAAGTAAAACTTTTCTTTCGAGATTAGGTTAGTGTTCCGTTTTTTCGGATGCTTTTCCGTTAAAGAGAACTGCAAGAATGAGAGGGCAGATATGATAGAGCTGCACTCTCAGACCGCCACCCATATTATGGAGGATCTGTATCTGCCTCATGAGCCGGATGATTGCCTCCGCGAAATGCTGGAGGATCTAAGGGGGACCCTAGTTGTCTGAACGGGGCTATTGACCCGTATCTGACAAAAAGGGTAGCCACTCAGTTGAAAGCTATCTTAGAATAGGAAGAAAAAGATTGAAAAAACTGTTCAAACCTATACCTAATTTTCTTTGATTATTCAATTTTGATTAGCGTTGATCGCTCTTTTCTTTAAAGCTTATGCCGTAGAAGCGGACATCCGGCTATTGGCGTTTTATCTGCATCTTCCCGACCGGAAGGGCTTCGCTTTGTTTGGGATGAACTCGCAAAGACTCGACCCGGGGACTTCCCTCGTAGAGTGGCCTCTTTTATAAGACTCGACTTTATCAGTGGAACTAAAAAAAAAAAAAAGAATCTAACGCTCTAGTCTAATTGAAGACTTTCAACGCTCATGCTATTTGAAAGCTCTTTCAAATAGGAAAGGAAGTAGGAAAGTAGCTTCTGAGAGAAATGTAAGAATTGCTGCTCTTAGCCGGCCTGGGGCCACGAGACCCTAACTCAAATACCTCAGCCGGTGCTGCTTAGCCTGTAGCCGGTCTAGCTCTCGGAGTTCCGGATATAGGGCTTTTCCTTGCTCTTTTCCCTTGCATCGAAGCTAAAATCCAAGAATGAGGAATGCCATGAATCAGACTAAGGAACGATGCCATCAAAGGAAGTAGTAAAGTAAGAATCAGAGGACTTTCAGGCTTCTGCCCTAAATCTAGCCAAAAGCCTATTCCGAAAGTACTATCAAACGAAGCTCAGTTCAAGGCTGTTATCCCACACCATCCCGAGCCTCAAGTCAGCCCATCCATCTTCCCTCGCTCTGAAGCTAGAGCAAGCTCCGTTTCAATCCAAGGAAGGTTCGGAAGGTAATACCAGGAAACTAAGAACAAATCCTCGCTTCGTAGCCAGCCGGTCTAGCTTTTGAATATGAGTGAAAAGTAGCTTCTGCTTCGCTATTAAATCCCTCACTTTCTAAGAAGATCAAGGGCAAGCCCTCCTACGATTACGATGACTGTAACGAAGTCTCGAAAGATAGAGAACCTCTTTCTTTACACGAGAGGAGGAACCATACGACAATGGTTCTAGACCCGTAACCCCATAACCTGTAGATGGCAGAATACGAGAATAGGCTTTGTTAGGGGATAATAGAAAGACATCCAAGCCAAGGAAAACCATCTATAAAAGCGTTATCAATTAGCGCTTTAGACCTCCCAAGGAAGAAAGAACAAAAGAACTAGAACTTGAATCTCTGGGAGGGGCGAAGCAAGTCGTAATAGATGGAAGAGAAGTTCCAAGAGATGGACTTGCTGGGGCAGTTACTAGCCGTATAGTTGCAGTTCCCGCTTAAACAACTCCTTATTATGCTTTTGGAAGAAATTCCCCAGTCAACCTCCCTTAGTCTCATCCTTTACACCCGGTCCAACCTTGCCCGCTCCTCTTGGCATCTAGGGTTATGTTATGGCTACTGCCTACTATCTCTCTAATAGCGAGGGTGCTTTCATCCGTGATGGAGTCATATGACATTCAAAGCCTTCTCTTTGAGATAGGTAACAGACTCAGCTGCTAGCCTTTCGAAATCTCTTTGTCGAGATCACGAATCAGCAGCTATAGAAGGAGTTGTTCCAGAACCCGCGGGCAGAATACCTTTTGTTGTAAGAAGGGCTACTGGTATGACATCAATCACTCTTAGAGTCTTAGCTGGGAACATTCTATTCCGAAAGTCAGGTCAATGCCACAGCTTCTTCTCAAGCATCAACATCAAAGTGCTCCAATGCCCTTACTTGAATCTAATGGAGGTCGATGTCCAGGGAATTGATAGAGTCAGACCTGATAATGTAGTGACTAAGAAGGAAGGTAAAGGAAAGTCAGTCAAAAGCTCGAGTAAGAACGAGAGGAAGAAGAAGCAGTCGAGCTCAATTTATTCTTTAGAGGGAAGTAAGAACGAGAGGAAGAAGAAGCAGTCGAGCTCAATTTATTCTTATTTTTCATTCTCTTTTTTTCTTTGGCCCTTATTTCTTCTTATCTCTCTTTTCCGACTAACGCAAACATGCTACCGTTAACCATGCTACCACAGAGAAAGTAAAGCTGGCTCTTCCAGCTCTCGTATCCGAGGAAAGCTAACTTCATTCCTAAGCGTCTTCTTTTCTTGGTGTGATCGTATCAGCGTACGAATCCGGAGTGATGGCATAGAAGGAGCTGCAATTGAATCAAAGAAGAAGTTGTTGTGCTAGAATCCACTGTTACAGAATAGGCAGCTATAGAATCAGCTCGGTCCTTTCTTCCGTTATGCCTTTAATAGCTATCCGATGATCCTGTAACTACCGCAGCCGAAGGGCTTTCCCTCTTTCGCCTATATCGAATTCTGCTACTGCTTCTTCGACTCAAAGAACTGACATCTATCCTTTATCTTTCTCCTATGATTCCCAATATCCGTGGGATTTCCTCTAAAGCCTTTCTCTTTAGTGACTCAAACAAAGAACCTTAGCGGATGGATGAAAGAAGTAACTGAAAGCAAGGATAATATCTTCTTTATCCCATCTAGGTATAGGGATAGATTGAATATTCCAGCGGTTGGTTGAAAAGATATACAATAATAAGAAGAGACTGATTGATATAGCATCTCACTAACTTAATCTCATGACTTTAGAATATCACTTTGTGAAAGTGCTCTCGATATGCCACCAAGAAGCCATTAGTGCAAGCTGGTATTTAGCTCGCTCCTTAGATAAGCTATAGCTCCCTCTTTCTCGGTCAACCAAAAACAATGTAAAATGTATTAAATACCTATTCTTTGTTCTAATCAGCAAGCGGTATACGACAGCTTCGATAGCATCCTCTCCTCTTTCTGCTCCAAATCCCTAGTTTAGAATGCAACGAATGAAGCGAAGAAAGGTGAAAGAGCTACAGAAGCAGGCAACAGAAGGAAGAGCTACAGAAGCAAGACTAAGAACTAGCTCGGCTTAAGGATTAGCTAGCTAGGAGTCTTTCTGTATATTCGAGACTTTATCCCTCGGTTCTAAGTGCAAGGCTTCCTTAGCTGCGGTAACCCTGCTATGCAGGAATTCTTACAGTTATCTCAAATCTAAGCTTGGAACGACGAACCGGGAACAAGCTTCCTTCGTTTTCGCTTACCTGCTTAACCGTTAGTTGTTAAGGATTAGCAGCACCGTCTACTAGCTAGAGCTGTGAAACCTGAGAGAGCCGGGTGGGAACTCAAGACTAAGGCAGTAAGAAAGAGCTAGGA